TCCTTGGCTCAAGACGAATCGACCTGACCCTATGACGTCATTTTCCGCCATGCAAATTTTTCCGCCATTTTGAATTTTATGAAAAACCTACTTTTGCTAACTCCTCCGTGGCCGTTTGTCCAAACTTCACGAAATTTGCTCCATATCATCTACTGACTATGCCAAACAAAAGTTATTTCTTGGATTTTTGAATCGTCAAACCGTTATCGAATTATTTGTGAATGATCCTTACGCAAAACTCGCAAAAATGATTGTAAGGCTATAACTTCGCAACGCTTTAGCCTATGTACACCAAACTTTGTCTATGTTGTAACACCTATGATCTAGGGCTGCATGCAGTGTTTCGTTGCTCTGCCCCCTAGTGGTCCGGAGATATAAAAAATTGGCAATTCGGCCTGTATTTCCCAAACCGTTTGTCCAAAATTCATAAAATTGGTATCAGTGCGTTTGGAGCATCAAGCCGAGTCGGACCATGTCCATTTTTACTGTGTGGGCCATTTTGGGCGTCGGCCATTTTGATTTATGCCAAAAAATGCTGTATTTCAAACATACTTTACTTTGAAATTCTGAAAGTTGTTGTGCATGTTTGACACCATGCCCTGAAGAGACTCAACAAATTTTACGCCAGCGCCACCTTTTGGTCAAAAGATATAAACGATTTTAGAAAAATGCTAATAACTTTTGCTAGTTTAGCCTATTGTCAAAAATCTCATCCAGTTTTGTTCCTTAGGTCGAGCTGAAAACATAGATATAAAATTTACCATAATTGATTGAACTTCCTGTCTGCCGTGTTGAATTGACTGAAAACCTCACTTTTTCTAACTCCACCCAGACGGTTTGACCGATTCTCACCAAATTTGAATCGGAACATCCTTAGACGTTGCTGGCACAAAGTTATTCGTAGCGTGTTGATTGCTCTTACCGTTTTCGATAAGAGCCATGACTATTGTGATCCATCGAGTCAAGTGGTTTCCGAAGCTGTATCTCTGCAACCGTTTGCCATATTGACACCAAATTTGTTGTGAGTCATCAGTACCAAAGGCTGACCCCAAAACAAAAGTTACTAAGAGCGCCACCTAATGGTTAAAATTCATAAAATTTTGAATAGCGCTCGATTTCGATTTTTTTTGAGTCGATTTCATGTCTTTGGTTTAGATTTTGATGGCCTTTCTGCTCACGTTTTGCCTACTGGATGCTTGGCCCCGCATTACTGCTTGCAGTTATATTTATTATTCTTCTTCTTCTTCTTCTTCCTCTTCCGCCGCGAAGTCAATGGGAGCCGTATGAACCGTTTGCGGGAAAGTTATGAAATTTGACCCACTGACTGCCAAGCCTCTGACCTACAATCTGACCAAATTTGAAGTCTCCATACCAAACCATCTAGCGCCACCAATAGGCCAAAGTTACACCCACGTTTATGCTAATAACTTTTGAACCGTAAGTCGAATAAACAAAATTCCACTTCCCACTGATTCCTTGGCTCAAGACGAATCGACCTGACCCTATGACGTCATTTTCCGTCATGCAAATTTTTCCGCCATTTTGAATTTTATGAAAAACCTACTTTTGCTAACTCCTCCGTGGCCGTTTGTCCAAACTTCACAAAATTCGCTCCACATCATCTACTGACTATGCCGAACAAAAGTTATTGCTTGGATTTTTGAATTGTCCAACCGTTATTGAATTATTCACAAATGATCCTTACGCAAAACTCGCAAAAATGATTGTAAGGCAATAACTTCGCAACGCTTTAGCCTATGTACACCAAACTTTGTCTATGTTGTACCACCTATGATCTGAGGCTGCATGCAGTGTTTCGTCGCTCTGCCCCCTAGTGGTCCGGAGATATAAAAAATTGGCAATTCGGCCTGTATTTCCCAAACCGTTTGTCCAAAATTCATAAAATTGGTATCAGCGCGTTTGGAGCATCAAGCCGAGTCGGACCATGTCCATTTTTACTGTGTCGGCCATTTTGGGCGTCGGCCATTTTGATTTATGCCAAAAATGCTGTATTTCAAACATACTTTACTTTGAAATTCTGAAAGTTGTTGTGCATGTTTGACACCATGCCCTGAAGAGACTCAACAAATTTTACGCCAGCGCCACCTTGTGGTCAAAAGATATAACGATTTTAGAAAAATGCTAATAACTTTTGCTAGCTTTAGCCTATTGTCAAAAATCTCATCCAGTTTTGTTCCTTAGGTTGAGCTGAAAACATACATATAAAATATACCACAATTGATTGAATTTCCTGTCTGCCATGTTGAATTGGCTTAAAACGTTACTTTTTCTATCTCCACCCAGACGGTTTGACCGATTCTCACCAAATTTGAATTGGAACATCCTTAGACCTTGCTGGCAAAAAGGTATTCGTAACGTGTTGATTGCTTTTGCCGTTTTCGATAAGAGCCATGACGATTGTGATGCCGTCGGGTCATGTGGTTTCCGAAGCTCTATCTCTGCAATTGTTTGCCATATTGACACCAAATTTGTTGTGAGTCATCAGTACCAAAGACTGACCCCAGAACAAAAGTTACTAGGAGCGCCATCTAATGGTCAAAATTCATAAAATTTTAGATAGTGCTCAATTCAACTTGTTTTTTATGCTACCATGCCTTGAGGTGATTTCATATGTCTTTGGTTTACATTTTGATGGTGCTTCTGCTCACGTTTTGCCTACTGGATGCTTGGCCCCGCATTACTGCTTGCAGTTATATTTTTTATTATTATTATTATTTTTTTTATTTTTTTTTGTCAATTCAGTTTGTCAATTTTAGTTTTCTTCATTTAATTTGTTTCTGTTAAATGTAATTATCTTGCAGGGAGTCCCATCCTACTACCCCTCCACTCAGAGAGCCACAGTCTGCTGCCGCTCCATCCATAGAGCAAAGGTAATAATAGTTTCTGATTTTTTTTATTATAGTTTGGTTTTAGTTTGTTTAGAAGTTTAAAATTTTTTTGGTTTTCTTCATTTAATTTGTTTCTGTTAATTGTTATAATCTTGCAGGGAGCCCGTTCCTTCGAACCCTCCACTCAGACAGCCACAGCCTGCCGTTGGTCTGATCAGAATGCCTCGGGTGTCTGGCGGTTTACTCACAATGCCTCTGTTTGCTGCCGCTCCACTCAAAAAATCTCTTTCTGCTGCCGCTCCACTTAAAGAACATCTGTCTGCTCCCGCTCCACCCAAAAAGTCCCTGTCTGCTGCCGCTCCACTCAGAGAACATCTGTCTGCTGCCGCTCCACCCAGAGAGCAAAGGTAATAATAGTTTTGGAATTTTCATTAGAATTTGGTTTTAGTTCATTTTGACATTTTTTTTTTAAATTCAGGCAGATTCAGTTTGTCAATTTTAGTTTTCTTCATTTCTGTTAAATGTAATAATCTTGCAGGGAGCCCTTTGCTTCGAACCCTCCACTCAGACAGCCACAGCCTGCCGTTGGTCGGATCAGAATGCCTCGGGAGTCTGGTGGTTTACTCACAATGCCTCTGTCTGCTGCCGCTCCACTCAAAAAATCTCTTTCTGCTGCCGCTCCACTTAAAGAACATCTGTCTGCTCCCGCTCCACCCAAAAAGTCCCTGTCTGCTGCCGCTCCACTCAGAGAACATCTGTCTGCTGCCGCTCCATCCATAGAGCAAAGGTAATAATAGTTTTGGAATTTTCATTAGAATTTGGTTTTAGTTCATTTTGACATTTTTTTTTTTTTAAATTCAGGCAGATTCAGTTTGTCAATTTTAGTTTTCTTCATTTCTTTGTTTCTGTTAAATGTAATAATCTTGCAGGGAGCCCTTTGATTCGAACCCTCCACTCAGACAGCCACAGCCTGCCGTTGGTCGGATCAGAATGCCTCGGGAGTCTGGTGGTTTACTCACAATGCCTCTGTCTGCTGCCGCTCCACCCAAAAAGTCCCTGTCTGCTACTGCTCCACTTAGAGAACATCTATCTGCTGCCGCTCCATCCATAGAGCAAAGGTAAGAATAGTTTGGATTTTTTTATTATAGTTTGGTTTTAGTTTGTTTTGAAGTTTTAAATCTTTTTGGTTTTCTTCATTTAATTTGTTTCTGTTAATTGTAATAATCTTGCAGGGAGCCCCTTGCTTCTCGCCGTCCACTCAGAGAGCCACGGTTTACTGGTTGTCTGATGAGAATACCTCGGGCGTCGTCTGGTGGTCTACTCACATTGCCTCTGTTTGCTGCTGCTCTACTCGAACAATCTCTGTCTGCCGCTGCTTCACCCTCAAAGCAAAGGTTATTATAGTTTTGTTATTTTAGTTTTTTTTTATTTTCAATTCTGTTTGTTAATTTTAGTTTTCTTCATTTTATTTGATTCTGTTAAATGTAATTATCTTGCAGTGACCACCATCCTACTACGCCTCCACTCAGAGAGCCACAGCCTGCCGTTGGTCTGATCAGAATGCCTCAGGCGTCTGGCGGTTTACTCACAATGCCTCTGTCTGCTGCCGCTCCACTCAAAAAATCTCTGTCTGCCACCGCTCCATCCATAGAGCAAAGGTAAGAATATTTTTGGATTTTTTTTATTATAGTTAGGTTTTAGTTTAGAATTTTTTGTAATTCAGTTTTTACATTTGTTTGTACTGTTTCTGCTCTTCTATTTAAGTTTGCCTTATTTCAATAATTCTCTATCATAACCTTGCAGGGAGCCCTTGTCTGCTAATCCTCCTAATGCCAGAGAAAGTCTTGTTTCATCTGTACCTGCAACTGCTCAGGGATCCATGACCACATCTTCTCCATACAGATCCAGTCAATATCTTTTAAAGGCCCTGGATGGCAAGAAAGTTTCTCCAGGTCAACAGTGAGGGATAATTAACCAGCTGGAGCATTTTATTTTATTGTTGGGCAAAAAAAAAAAAATAAATAAATATTTTTAATTACAGACATTGTATGAATATGTAAATATGCTCGAAAAATTACATTTATGCTTTGGCAAACGCTTTTATCCAATGCGACTTACATTTGAATGAATGAACACATATTTGTCAGTTCCCGCTTCTCCTGGGATTTGAACCCACGATTTTGTCGTTGAGCGTGCAATGCTCTGCCAACTGAGCCACAGCAAAGCACACATTAACCCCAACTATTCTTTTTAGGAACCAAATGGACTTAGGAGGGTTAAAATGGACAAAGACTTGTGTCTGAAAGGAACAGATTCCTATTGACTACAAAGTTAGTGCTCACCTTTACAGCTCAAACTAATTTACAAATGAGAAAAGGGTTATCTCAGGTTTAGAAACACAAGATACATGGCTTCCTGTAGCCTAGAGTTTAGTTTAATATTTAAAGTTTACAGGGTCAACTTAAGACCTTTACCAGCAATCTACAGTAGTTGTATAGGAAATATTACAAGCACATGTACCTAACACGGAGCCAAGTACCTAACAGAAAAACAATGATTTATCGATTTTAAACTATAATGAAATACAACTAAATCAAATTCAAATGGTTTGAGCAGTATTTACTTTTTTTGCCATAAAACGTTGAGCCAGACTCAGTAGGATGGTCAGAACATTTTAGAACCAACTTTACGTATGAACTGATATAGAATTAAAAGACAATAAGCCAATGTGTATATCTCCTGACCAATAGGAGACACTGTTCTGAAACTCGGTAGGCAAGCTCAGATCATAGTTATAATAACAAATGTTAAACGTTACTACCATTTTGTTTAGTGGCTTTACCACAAAACTTGTTGGGTACCTTCTGGACATGTTACCAAACATGCAAGAAAACTTTTGTAAAGATATGTTGATGCATTTGCGACTCGACAAAATCCAAGATGTCTGATATTTAAAATTGCAGACATACTTAAAATGGTTGTTTCAATTTTATGGTTTTATAATGAACAGGTATATAAATATAAGGTAAAAAGCACAGTTTCTATCTCGTGACCTCTAGGGGGCACTGTGCTCAAACTCAGCAGACAGCCTCAGATATATACTCAAATATAGCCTTACAACCATTTTGGTTGAGAGTGTCATAATTGTTCATGACCTATTCATTAATACTTTGTTGAATCAACTTGAATTCCGTAACTTTTAGTCAGCATGGTCAGAGGATGATATGAAACAAATTTGGTGGAAATTGAATGAAACTGTCAAATGAAATGAAAGTTCACACAAGTAGGTATTGAAAAGAATCCAAAATTAGCATAAAGTGCAATGGCGTTATATAGTCCATGTAGAATTGGCCAGAGCCAAGGAGTAAGCAGCAACAAGAATTTTGTTTCTACACTATACCATTCAAAAGTTATTAACATAAACATAAGTGCAATTTCAGATTAGTTGAGACGCTATAGAGTTTGAGTTAGAGGGTCCTGATTGGGTCAGAATACTCATAATGGCCAACTGTGCCAAAACTTTTTTGCAAGCTGTTCATGGGGCTGCCATTGACACATGGTGGAAGCAAAAGAAGAAGAAGCGGTTCACATAAACTTTCACTTCACAAAGCAAATCAAGCACATTTCCAAGCAAATCAAAGTGTATTTATGAAGCACACTAATGTGTTTCCCTGATCGTGAGTTGGAATATCAATGTTCACAATTCAGTTTTGCTTATGATTTTGAAGGAAAACTTCAGTACCTCTCATGTATCGGGCCCAGCTCCATCATGTGTTGCAACAGTGTACCTTGATTTATGAACGGTGCCTGTAACAAAACACCAATTTAATAACAAAATCACACAACGTTTTTAATATTCCAGAATGTGAACTTACTTTGAAAGGTTTCGTCTGGTGTGTGAGGGAACCAATATTGCTGATGATGATTCCGTTGCTGAGTGGATCCTCCACGGGTTCTTTTAAACCATCTCCTAAATCATTTCCATCCAACTGAAAAGACACATTTGCTTCCATCGTCTCGGGTTCAACCTTAATCTGGATTTCTTGGTTAACAAAACTATTCTCATGGTTGTGTTTGAACTGGGCTGCAGTGTCTTTGCTGGATATTTGATCCTGAAAATCATCCAGACACTGTGATGAAGATGCTGATGTGCTGCACACAGGAGCTTCGTTTTCCTCATGATGAGTGTAAACTTCTAACTTCATCTGCATCGCTGTGTCCTTCCATTCCTTAGAGAAGATCTGACTGCAGTTCTGTTCTTGAGATTCAGTCTGTGTTTCTGAAATACAATATTACACATCACTGTTAAAAGTTAAAACGTTTAATTTCCACCGAGCTCATACAACCATAAGGTGGCAGATTCAAGCCAACTGATGAATAAATGGAGACGTGCAGCACACCATATTTACCTACACAGCGTGTTTAAGGGGGATCTACTAACCTGAGTCCACCTGATCTCGTGTCAGCTCAATTCGCCTTTTCAGCAACTCAATTTCTTGTCTTGAGCGACAAATCTCCTCTGTATACTCTAAAAATACACCTTCCACAGCATTGAATATCTCCTGAGCCGCTAGAGTCAGTCTCTCTGTCAAGAAAACGTTTAAATTCTGAAGTTTTGCCATTTTCTTCAGATAAAAATGTTAGTTATACGGTTGTTCCTCTTGTTTTCATAGCGGATATCCCTTTCTTTTTGTCGAGTCCGTTAATTTAAGAGCTCGGTGGTTGTTAGCACCACCTGCAGGTTTGGATGTTCCGTAACGACAAAACTACTATAAAACAGTTCAATAACAATATACCCCTTAGCTTTGTTATAGAATGGGTAAAGAATATGATCGAGTGTGCATGAAGCTATACTTTAAAGAAGTGTAATTATTTTTATACAAATAGTTTGTTCATTAAATGCAAACTGGAAATTTGTGGAGCTTTCTGTTCATTGATTGGCAAACTTTCTAAACAGATTCACAAATAATGCTTAAAATTTTTCTACAAAACAAATAAACAGAAATCAACGTTTTTCTCTACTTAAACTGCTAAAGTCCTGTTAAGCTTTCAACCTCAACAGGAACATTTCAATTATAGAATAATAATGTGGGTTTTTGGGGGAGAAAATAGGCAGTATTATTATTCATTCATTCATTTTGTTTTTGGGATTGTGTGGGAAACCGGAATTCCCTGAAGAAACATGCAAACTCCCTCCAGGAAGGTCACCAGCAAGCCTTTAACCAACATCCTTCTAATTGAAAGGCCACAGTACTACCCGCTGTGCCACCGTGCCGCCTAGGCAGTAAATTTATGTTTACTCAACAAAGCTCTAAAAATACATTTAAATTATTTTATTACGTTTAAAGTGTTTTGCTTTTTTTTCAATACTGGAAAATTTGACATGAAACTGAGTCCATAGAACACAGCACATGCACCACCAGCAGCCTCTGCTTTCTTTCTTCTGTACTCTCTGCATCTTGCATCAAGTTGCATGTTCAAAAGATCTGTATTGAGCATATCTTAAAGCACGGGTGTCAAACTCATTTTCACCGAGGGCCACATTAGCATAATGGCTATCCTCAAAGGGCCAGATGTAACTTGTAAAACAATGTAATCGAATGTAATGTAAAAATAAATGTAACTACTCCTTAATGTTAAATAACTCATTATTTATCACTTATTTAAGAGACAATTCAGTTGCATAGAAACAATTGCATGCTTGTTATTCTAATATAAATCCTTTTGATTTTTGTCAGCTTATGAAAACCCACAAAACTCCATTAATGAAGGATCAAACTGTCCAAGTGAAAAAAGAAAAATAGCATTTTTGTAATTTGTTTAGCTGAAATAAAACCCTCACAGACTGAAGACAATGCATATCGATCATCTTTTATCATCAGGCTCAAGAAACAGACCACAGATAAACCATTAGCTGTGTCCATTTCACATCTTGAAATTTATTTTAGCGCAAGAAATCGGAGGTGTAGCGAGAGAGATCACTCAAATGCGAGAGTCTTACATTCAATGTGCGAGAAACGGCAGCTCTGCAGTTTCACTCGTGAGTATGGATGTGGAAACACCGTTGCGGCTACCGGCATTGTGGGAAATTTAGTTTTTTTTTTTTTTTTAGACACTACAAAAACTTTTAAGCTCTCGCGGGCCACATTAGATTACATGGCAGGCCACATCTGGCCCGCGGGCCTTAAGTTTGACACGTGTCTTAAAGGGTCATTTTTAATTCTCTTCCTCCAGTTCCGACAATACATGGCACTTCTGGACCGGGACCCTTGGTGTTGAATTTTAAGAAACATCCGGTAATAGAAAAAGTACACAATTATTCATCAATCTTTATTTACATGATGTTGTATACACATAAAAAAATGTACAAATACAATATATAATGAATATACAGAAAATTTTATTTAACAAGTGTTTTGAATATGAACTTACTTTGAAAGTTTGCTTTGTGTGTGATGGAAGCAATGTTGCTGATGATTCTGTTGCCATTACTTCCTCGATGGGTTCCTTTAAACCAGGTCCTAAATTATTTCAAATAATGACATTAATACAAGTTTAACTTTTAATTATTATCTCAAGTCGTGTGCCCTACATAGATGGTTGGCACCCTTAGCATTTACCTGTACTGCCTAATTAGCATTTGAGCGAGCATCAACACTTATCAACACTTATGCACACTTATGCAATCATCTGCCTTTCAGGGATATGAGAATGCATTTTCTGTAATGTCTGTTCCGTGCACTGAGGTGCTTAAATGCTTTTCCACAGCTCAGACAGACGTGTGGTTTCTCTCCTGTGTGGATCCTGATGTGGGTCTTCAGATGACTGGACTGACGAAAGTTCTTGCCACAGAAGCTGCAGTGGTAGGGTTTCTCCCCCGAATGAATTCTGAGGTGAACTTTCAGGAGTGCTGGAGTGCTGAATCTCTTCAGGCAAACCACACATAAAGTCTCTTTTGTACCAGTCAAATTTCCTGAAACGTAGAAATACATTTGGTGACTCTCTGACAGTTCATCTTGCTGATTGACTTGCTAAAGAACATAACAACAAAATCCTGAATATTCGCTAAACGATAGAGACACCAATCATTAAAGAAAAGAGAGAGGGCGGAAGCACAGACACCTAGTCAGAAAGCTTGAATATTTTAGCATATTAGTGATGTGTCGTTCAAGAACGATTCGTTCTTTTTGAACGAATCTTTAATGTGACTCCGTAGGAACGAGTCG